GTATATATATATGTACATACATACATACAAAATAATATATATATATATATATATATATATATATCTACATACAAATACAAATATAAATATAAATACTCCTATATATATATATATATAATAAAAAATATATAAGTATATATACATATATAGGATTATGTATGTATATATACATAATTCTATATATATTTATTTATTTTTTCAGTTTTTTTTTGGATTTTTTTTTAAATCTGTTTTTTATTTTTATTTTTTTGTCATTTTTCGGATTTTTTGTATTTTTAAAAAATCTGATATGGCATATTGACATGACAAAATTTTTCATATCGCGTGACATGTCAGACGCCACGTGGTGTATCATATCATCGGTTAACGGACATTTAACATCGTTTTCGGATTGTGTAGGAAATTGCAGTTAAATTGGGTAGTTCGTGTGTCAATTTGACACATTTGATAATTTGATATAGTTTTTTGTCAAATTAAAAGTTCGTATAGGAAAAAGTCATATTTTAAACCATCCGTGTAGGAAAATGTCATTTTTCAAAAAAAAAAATAGTCATAAATAATAATATCCATTTCCCAGTCTTCTCATCGAACGAAATCTGACTCCTTCGGGTTAGGGTTTATGTTCTCCCGACCGAATTCCATATTTTCGAACTTCACTTTTGGTATGTCACGTCACGTGTGTATATACATGTATAGGCCATGTACATATACAGCACATAATATCCTTTACATTTCAGCGGTAATCGAACATATATATATATATATATATATACACATATTATTATTTATATGTCATGATATATACATAATTAAATATTTATGTGCGCCAAAGCGGAGGAGGACGTGGGCGGATGCGAGAACGACTCGTATAAAGTATATGTCGTAACAAAAATGATATATATATATATAATAAAAGCGAGGGTTTGATGATATAAAACTGCAGTGGATTTATAAGTATATGTGGTTCAAAAGAAAAGCGAAATAATAAAAAATTATAATTATAAATTATGAAATTATATATGGTCTTTACCCAAAAAAAACGTGTGTATATATATGTGTGCGTGTGTATATATATACACACTAAATGAAAAAACTTCCTGAGATAAGTCCGGGCTCTTCGATTTGTTTTGATATTTAATTATTTTAATATTCGGCCAGAGTCTGTTCCCGAGTGAACTCGGCTTATTAGCTCAGTTGATCAGAGTGTCGTGTTCTGATAACGCCAAGGTCGCAGGCCCCCCTATGGCTATCACTGTTCTTCTCGAAAAATCTTTCCGACCAAAAGAAAAAAACAAATTTATGTTTTAATTTTGGATTAAAAAAACAAATTTACATATTCAAATATTATATGCGTACAGTTTCAGGATTGCTATGAAAATAAAAAACTAAATTTAATATATAAATGGTTGTCTACTATGCAATGGAACAATTCATCAATTAAATAGCCTTTGCAAACAAGTATATAACAATATATATATATATATATATATATATATATAATGTAAATCTAATATCATGAAATCGGCCCGAACCAGAATATTAAAAATAGAAATTTTTATTAAAAAAAAATATAGTAAACGATCGATAACTATTTTTGTAGGGCCGAATAACCATAATCCAACAAATAACTTGCCAGAATCGAATCGAATGCCGAAATAGTTTCAGAAATTTTTTATTAAAAGTCCAATGGAAAATTTAGATGGGCCATGAAAATAGTAGGCCCATTAGATTCTTACAGCTAATTATTAATTTATTGCCCTCATGGCAAGTGCACAACACGCGCGCCTCCCCGAGCCTGAGAGTCCCACTAAGTACGAAACTGTCATTTCGAAACGCGGGTCGAGGGAACGGGATCGGAATTTTGGAAAATTTCCTTACGGTTCCCGCCTCGACGAAATCAAGAACCCTAATTTCCTCACTCTCACTGGAAATATTCTAATCTCCACCAATCTACCAAGCAGATCCTGCAGAATTAGCCACCGACGGATGCTTTTGATCCCTAGGTCCGTAATCTCGTCGGTTAATCATAATTGTCAATCTCCATTTCGTTGTATTCGTATCGAAATCTGACTTTTTGGTTTAGGGTTTATGTTCTCCCGAGGGAATTCCATATTTTCTCTCGTCGTATGTTTTCTGGTTGTAAATGGTTTCTTGAGAGGGTATTCTTGAAGTATCGTGTTTGGGATGAAGTTACGTTCGTCGGTTCGGTTGGGCGACTATTCCCCCCTTGCCTATGAGGTTTTAGGGTTTTTCCCTTTATTCTCGTATCTCGCTAGTTTCTGACCGGTGAAATTTTATTTTGGATAATTGGATTTCACGTGCTTTGTGATTGGAATCTAAAATTTCCTCCCTTTTTGTGATTGGGTGATTTTAAGATGACCGGAAATAGCTGCGAAGTAGGTTCCAAGGAAGCCCGCCCTGCTTTGTGTGATATGACTAATCTTCCAAGCAAAAGGGGAATTTCTTCGATGTTGGGTGATTATCTATTGAAATCTGGAGATGAGTCTGGTAAGAATGTCGTGCGTGAAGATCAGGGGGTAAAGTTTTCAAAGAGGTTATGTTTAGTTGTAGAGGATTTGGTTAAGGAGAATTCTAGGGGTAGTGATAGCAAAGCTGGGTCCTCTTCTTTTGAAGATAAGAGCAGTTCTGGTGGCTCTCCCTTAAATGGTGGTTCTGTAAATATTGAACTTGTTGCTGGAAAAGATCCTGGGGATTCTAAGGATGCATCAGATGCGTTAGATGTGGCTGGTGTTCAATCTTTCAAAGGTGATTCTGATGACGCTGCAGTAGAGATTACCGGTGGTGATGGTCATGAATTGAAGGAGAGCTGCATATCTAGTAGTTCTGTGCAGGTGTCTTTAGAAAATGTTGAGAAGAAAGATCATGGGCCGGCATCAAATGTGGCCTCTAATGCAAAAAAATGTACAGAGGGAGAGGGGTTGCCTAATTCCCAAAACTGCAGATCATTTGAAATGGGTAGATGTTCAACCGTCGACAGGATGGAGCATGTGAATCACGATATGGGAACTGACATGTTAAAATCTTGCACCTGTTCGTTTTGCCTGAAAGGTTTCTGATTCTTCTGCTTTTGATTGACTGTTTCACTTGATTCCGATTAAAGTTCATCTAATTTGATTGTGGCTATAACCAATTTCTTCAGCTGCATATATCTGGTCGGATCTTCATTACCAGGATATCAAAGGCAGGTTATCTGGTAATTCCCATGAGACCTTTTGACTCTGTGTTAGTTCCAATGTCACTGGATAAATATGATCCATCCATATATGTGGTAATAAAACATTGATTCATTCATTTAATGTTCCTATTTTAACAGTGTTGAAGAAGAGTCAGAAAGAAGCTAGTAACTTGATTCAAAGGAATTCCAGAGGAAAGCCAATCGATTTTCATGGCTCAGCAAACTCCACTAGTTCCGCAAAACTGGAATCTGATCTCATGTCTCAATGGAGATCGCTCTTTCTTAACATGGGCGATATCCTTTCACGCGAAAGTAACCACCTTGTAAGTGTGTTTCGACAAAGGAATAGATGATGAATCACTCTATTTATAGCCCAATCTCACCCTTGTGTTCTTTGACGTCATGTGATATTCCAATCCGCAGCAAAAGAGCTTCGTTACCATGAAAGAGTTGCGGGATAACTGCAAGATGGATCTGGAGAGATCGACAAAAACGCCTCAACACTAGATCCAGCCATCTTTACTGCTCCGAGACTGTAAGATCTCATCATTGTCTTGTCTCTTACTTTCAAGTAGCCTTAACCTTGTGCCACGATGCATGTATAGATGCATGAGACCTATGTGTGTATGTAATTCTCATTGTCATATGGTTTTCTCGTGATCTCTCGAGTGCTATAGATGTGTTTGTTTCATCCTTTTTCCTTGCTAATTCTACTTTCCATCTAAGATTCCAACTCTTGAAATGGCTCTAACTATTCCAACGTGAAAAATTTTATAATTTTCTAAAAATGTTTTAATAAAAAAAAATTAAATTTGATTACAAATATTTGTATTTGACTATCAAATATCATTTTTACGTCTCCATTTTTCTCATTTAAAATATATTCAGAGTCGGTCTAGTAATGGCTAGTGTGGTGTGGTATCACATTTTTCCAGCTGACTTGAATTTTAATAATGTGTCCGTATACATCGAACAATGTAAGAATCGTTACATTTCAACGTAGGATAAGATGGCTTTGGTGCGAGTTCACTTATATTATATCATATAGATATTCCACAGAAGCCCATGATAATATAATTGCATGAATATTGAATGATTAAGAGCCTAATCATGGTTGTTAGTTTAGCAATTAAGAAAAAGTGTCTTCGAAGTGGTCTAAAGCTTCTTGGGTTACAATGCAAAAGTCAACTATTTACCATAGTCAACGGGTTCCCTACTGCCAAGTGTTACCCCATAAAATAATTATGATGCTTATTACAATTAGTATTTTTACAATGATTACAAACGATACGATTATACAGGTTTACTTTAGGGATTATGATTGTCATTTAATAATGTTGACATGAGTCTACAATAATTATAATATTAATGGCAGTTGATGAATGACGAATTTCTATCCTAACTAAGGTAAAATAGTTTTAGAAACTGTAATAAATCGTTGATTCAAATGTTCCGCCATTATCGATTTTCTTGGATGAAAGATATTTATCATCTATACCTTTTGTAAATGGGGAAAAAATGAGCCTTCTATGAAAAAATAAATAGGGGAATTTGATTTTGAAAATTTTTCGCCGATAATTACTGTTATCTTGTATGCTCACGATTCATATTGTGGCTACTCAGAAAAAAAACACACACAAGGATTCGCAAATCCGAATCTCCAATATATACATATAGAAAGGTTTGACATCGACCTTATTTATTTATTTATTTATAATATACTACGTTATCTTAAAAATTATAATAAAAATGTAACTATGTAAGATATTAAGTCAAACATGGGAAGAGACGATATTGATCTTCTTCTGCAGAGCTTGGCTCTAAATGTTGAAGATCCTTACATTATTCTTAAAATTCGATTACTTGAGCAAACCACTTGCTTTTGGATTCTCAGGTGACTTGCTTTTTCCTGCCTCTCTCGTTTTTCCTTTGTTTGAAGTGTTCGTCGATGTCTGTCTTTGCTTCCATCATGTTCGATGAAATGCCTGGCAGAGAACTGAGAGAGGAAGAGAGTGACTTGTTAGCGAAGAGGGTCGTGTTTGCAATGCTTCCTTTTGCTTGCTGGTCTTAGTTTCTTGTTTTCTTTGAAAAATCAAATCTTTTTTTTTTTTCGGGAACAGACGATATTGATCTTCTTCTGCAGAGCTTGGCTCTAAATGTTGAAGATCCTTACATTATTCTTAAAATTCGATTACTTGAGCAAACCACTTGCTTATGGAAGTTGCTTCATTTTACATGCTTCGCATAATTAATTTTGTTTTTATTTAATAATGATGTTTCAGATAATTGTTAGTTCAAAGTCCTGGTCGTATTTACAACCTTGTTTAAGGATGGACAGAACTTTATCAGGCAATTACCAGAAACATTATGTTATTACATAAATAAATATCCCAAACAGGGTAATAGTTTCTGTGATCTCTTTCTGGTTTTATGTGATGAAAGTTAGAAGCTCATGTTGGCATCTACTATGTAACATGTGTTCCCTTACAAAATGACAGGGAACTAATTTGTACTCTAGAGTAAGTTTGTTCTAAACCAGTTTGACTTGACTGACCCCATTTACTTGGATCGTGAAGGCTGTGAAATCCCACGATACATCAAACTTGCCTTGGATCGGTCCAGTTCCAGGCGACATTGCTGAAGTTGAGGCTTACTGTAGAATATTTAGAGCAGCTGAAAGGCTACATGGAGCATTGATGGAGACACTTTGCAATCCTTTGACAGGTGAATGTAGAGTTCCATATGAGTTTTCTCCCGAGGAAAAACCGTTATTGGAGGACAAAATCGTGTCAGTGCTTGGATGTTTATTATCGCTTCTGAATAAAGGACGGAAGGAAATTATCTCTGGAAGGTCGTCTTTTATGGATTCATTCAGTGTGGCTGATGTAAGTGTCACGGAGGAACTGCTTCCACCCCTTGCTGTTTTCAGGGGTGAAATGAAACGATGTTGCGAGAGCTTACACATTGCTCTCGAGAATTATTTGATGCCTGATGACGAAAGAAGTGGAACTGTTTGGAGGAAATTACAATGGCTGAAGAATGTCTGCTATGATGCTGGTTTTCCACGTCGGGATAACTATCCTAGCCATACAATTTTCGCGAATTGGGACCCTGTCTACTTTTCAAATACGAAAGAGGATTTTGGTTACCAGGAAACTGAGGTTGCTTTTTGGAGGGGTGGACAGGTAACAGAAGAGGGACTGAAGTGGTTAGTAGAAAAAGGGTATAAAACAATAGTAGACTTGAGAGCTGAAGATGTGAAGGATACATTCTATGAGGCAACCCTCGAAGATGCTATTTCCCGGGGGAAGATTGAATTGGTGAAAATCCCGGTGGAGGTAAGGATGGCACCTTCAGCTCAGCAGGTCGAGCAGTTTGCTTCTCTAGTATCAGATTGCAGCAAAAGGCCGATATACCTTCACAGTAAGGAAGGGGTTTGGAGAACTTCTGCTATGGTATCCAGGTGGAAACAATACATGACACGTTCGATGAACAAGGAAACTCCGGTTTTGGAAGAGACAAAGCGACGGGAGGTTTCTGAAACTAAGCCTGGGTCGAAAGCAGTATATCGCACGCATGTTCCTCAAAAACTTGCTGATGATGTCTCTGGTATCACTGAATTTGATAGTAGTTCTGTTTCGAAGGAAAGCAATGAATCAAAAGAGAGAAGCAACGAAGGACAGACATCTGTATCAGAATTTAGTATGGTGGCTGATCCTCTTAAATCTCAAGTTCCACCACTCAATGTTTTCTCAAGAAAGGAAATGTCTGCGTTCTTGAAGAACAAAGGCATTGCACCTGCTGCTTATCTTAATAATCAATACAGAACACTGGGAACAGTATCATCTTCGCAATTTTCATATGTTAGGACGACGGAGAGAAATCAGATGATTGATAAAGACGCTCTGAAGGATTTCTCAGAGACAGGAAACTCCAATGGGTCCCTTCTATCCTTAGGATCACAGGGTTCAGATTTTGGCAATGGAACATTTTCAAATGGAGACGTTCATGCTTCTAGTATCACCAATAAAAGTGTATATGTTGACCGGGGAAATGGTTTTTCTGGTGAGCCTACTGCTATATCTCCCAATGTGGCTAAACCTGTAAGAAAGTCTCATAAAAGCAGTGGTGCTTCTCCTTTGGATTCCAGTGATGACGAAATTGGATCTATTGAGGGGAATATGTGTGCTTCTGCTACTGGTGTAGTGAGGGTGCAATCTAGAAAAAAGGCAGAGATGTTCTTAGTTCGAACCGATGGGTTTTCTTGTACAAGGGAAAAGGTGACAGAATCATCCCTAGCCTTCACTCACCCAAGTACTCAACAGCAGATGCTTCTATGGAAATCTACACCAAAAACTGTTTTACTGCTGAAGAAATTTATTTATTTATAATATACTACGTTATCTTAAAAATTATAATAAAAATGTAACTATGTAAGATATTAAGTCAAACATGTTATGAATTCGGAGAGATATAAACGACCCGGATATTAGATCGTTTAACTATAACCGAAAAGAGTATTTTGGGAGAATGGATCATGGGACCCACAACCTCCATTTGGACAATTCTGATTGGTTCGAATCCTTTTACTTTCCAATAGACAAGCATACAAATATACATCCAATGTAAAGTTATATTTAGCACATAAAATTCTAAACTTTTGTCTTTAAAAACATAAGAGTTCTAACCATTATAGTTAGAAATTTCTAGAATTTTATTTTGATTGAGAGCCCTACAACATTGGCGAAATCGGAAACACACCAATAAATATCGGTGATGTTAAACAATCTAGAAATTTAATCGAAAACCCCATAAACTTTAATAAATTAAGATATATAAATAAAATAACCAATAAAATGTAGAGGTAAACTGCCAAAAACAGCAAATCAGAACAAGCTTTGCGTAGATTGCAAGACAAAGCCACGTAGGACACAACGTGTGAACACGTCAAAGTAAGCGCTGCGTTTTGTTTTATGGGACCCACAATCTCCATTTGGACAATTCTGATTGGTTCGAATCCTTTTACTTTCCAATAGACAAGCATACAAATATACATCCGATGTAAAGTTATATTTAGCACATAAAATTCTAAACTTTTGTCTTTAAAAACATAAGAGTTCTAACCATTATAGTTAGAAATTTCTAGAATTTTATTTTGATTGAGAGCCCTACAACATTGGCGAAATCGGAAACACACCAATAAATATCGGTGATGTTAAACAATCTAGAAATTTAATCGAAAACCCCATAAACTTTAATAAATTAAGATATATAAATAAAATAGCCAATAGAATGTAGAGGTAAACTGCCAAAAACAGCAAATCAGAACAAATTTAGCACTAACCGCTGCTGATAATTAGAAGATTTTACACAATAAAAAACAAAAAATCAGAAACTTTTTTGTAATTAAAATAAAAAAAACCAAAATGTTCAGAATTTGCCAAAAATGACGTCACCTCACGTCATGACTAAATACAAAAACGCCATGGCTGAATGCATATATAAAGGCAAAGCTATGACGAACTCTCAAACCCATCACTTGTGATTACTTCTTCTTCTTCTTCTTCCTCTCTCTCTCTCTCTCTCTCTCTCTCTCTCTCTCTCAGACTATCTGTATAAATGGCAGCAGCTTTAAACAGCAATAGTTGCAGAGAAGAGTTCATGAAAGCTCTTGCACCTTTCATGAAAACTTCTTGTTCTTCTTCAAAACCCAGCCTAACCCATAAATCCACTAACCAGCCTGAACCGGTATCGAATCATGTTCTCCAAACCGGTCCGATCGGCTTAAACCAACTCACACCAGCTCAAATCCTACAAATCCAAATCGAATTCCAAAACCAAAACCAAGTTCACGGCAAAGGCCGTGACCTCTATCTCCTTGCTGCGAAGCCAATCCCCATGAAGAACACAGTTGCAGCTGCATCATCCGTCGTGAGAAAACCTGCCAAGCTCTACCGAGGCGTGAGACAAAGGCACTGGGGCAAATGGGTCGCCGAGATCCGGTTACCAAAAAAACGGACCCGGTTATGGCTCGGTACGTTCGACACTGCCGAAGAAGCCGCCTTGGCCTACGACCAGGCCGCTTTCAAGCTCCGTGGAGAATTCTCGCGTCTCAACTTCCCCTACCACACGCGCCGTCGCGACTACAAGCCGTTTCCGCCGTCTGTGAACAAGAAGATTCAGGCCATCTTCGACGACGTAACTCCGCCGGAGTTTCAGATTCCGGCGAGGACAGATGCGGGTTTATCTGGGTTTTATGAAACAGATCCTGTTATGCCTAAATTGGAGCAAGAACCCAGCTTTCCAGAGAAAACCGAACCCGGTTATCCGAATGATCGTTTCGTACCTGAATCCGACAAGACGTTCTTGGACTTCTCGAACGATTGGACGTGGGACGAGAGAACGAGCTTTGGACTGGAGAAGTATACTTCAATGGAGATTGATTGGGACGCTGTCGCTAAAGTATCTGAATGGATGTGATATCCTTCTTCTTTTCTTGTTCATGTTGAAGTTTCTCGAAGTATCTTTATTCGTTATTCGAAGATCTCGTTCTTCATGGCGCCATTGTCAGAGCTCTGCAATGGAAGTTTTTGGCAGTTGCAGTGTAGCGAGGTTCTACTCGGTCTCTGTTCTTTTTTCTTTCTTTCTTTTTGATGTCTGAGCGAGTCAATGATTTTATTGTAAGTTTATGTAATAATCAGACAGACCCTTGGCTTCATCTGGGGATGTGATTATTATTTAGGCCGTGTTATTATATTTTATTTTTTTTCCTCCAAATTTTCAGGAGCGGAGAGAGCCATCCCATGGTTAACTAATGGGCTACGTCTTTTTGTTTTGGGCCGTGTGTATTAAGCACGTTGTACGAAGAAATGTTATGCGAAAAGCCCGATTACTTTGGGCTTTGGCTAAATATATTCATACGCACATACACAGAGAATATTTAATAAACATGTGCAATGACGTATACCAGATTAAGAAAATCTAGTCCTTTGCATGGCAAAAAAAAAACCTTGCGTATATTCAACAATCAATCTACGTATATGTGATTATGTTGCAATATTAGTATGATTATATATACTACATGTGACCACAAATGATGCTCGGCCCTCAAAGCGGGGACCGAGTTCCCATGCAAAAGTTTCAAAGGACCATCCCTTCCCATCTGACAAAATGCATTACTTTATAGTACGATTATATATATATATATATGAATGAAAAAGGAGCCCATGAATCCATGATCATGTATGGTTGAAAACCAAAATAATAAATAAAGCGGCGACGAATATGATATCAGATTCCCGTATGTATTTGATACATGATTCTGAGATCTTGGTGGGGAATTATATATTATAAATTGCTTAACAAAACTCGCGGTCTAATAGTTCTATAACTATTTATTCATATTCAAATGTATCAAAACCGTATTTCTGACATTTACGCGTGAATAACGTTCACCAGAATAAATTACAATAACCCCTCGTTTCTTGTTGTATTGATGAGACAATTATATCGTTATTTTGGGTTCCCGAGATATTTACGCGAGTGCTCTTCGCCAATAATTGATGTGAGTTGAATTATTATTATTATTATTATTATTATTATTATTATTATTATTATTATTATTATTATTATTATTATTATTATTATTATTATTATTATTATTATTATTATTATTATTATTATTATTATTATTATTATTATTATGTGGAGTGTCTATCTTTGCACGTTCAAAAGAGAGGAACTAAGTTTAGTTTTGTCAACACTTGTAAAGAGTTTGGATTCATCTTATTGTCTCCATTCCCAACCCCATGTGTTACTCTCTTTTTTTATTGTCTTTTTTTTTTAATATTTTCGTTTTCATTTTTTTTATTTTGTTTTTTTATATAACACATCGACGCGACCCTCGTTTGAGTGGATTCCAACTCCTCATTCTAACTTTATAACTTAAGATCCTTAGATTGATGGCTTTTCTTTTCCCAAAATCCTAAAAAAAAACTAGATATTGTAAAGGATAAATCATAATTTTTTTTTCTTCATTATCTGTACAAATTATTATATCTCAAAAGCTAATGATCTTTATATCTCGATGCAAAGCGAATGATGCATCCGCTGCAACCGAAGAGATTATCATTAATTTGAATATATATTACACCCATTATTCTGTGTATTTTGAATAATCTTGTACTGTATTTGCGTTTATTGTAATCGATGCAAAAGTCACCGCATATAATAAATTCTATGTTATATTATATTCTTTAAAATATAAAAACCCGATGGAAACATATTGAGAATAAATGCGGAAAACCTATTGTGAGTTCTCAAGGACACGAGCGATCCAAAGAGCTAATTTACCATTTGATAATAGAAAAAATGCCTAATGATAAAACACCAAACCCACGTCGGTATTCAAAGAAATTTATGTTCTTCAATTTACCCACCAAAGAGGTAGTCTAGTGGTCAATTTGAAGGTACAATGCATTTCAATGTTGAATGTTCGACTCTATTTAGTGGAGGAGAAACGTAATTTCTTGATTAATAAAACTCATATACAAAGGTGGATTGCGGAACGAAGATTTATCTAGTCAACGCGTTCGAAAGATAGCAGTTATGATTGTTCGTTATAAATAATAAAAAAAAAAGGTTGGATGGACCGATGGATATACCAATCACTCCAATCCGTGTCTTTATTATTTCAGTTCCTGATATATTTTTTTTTAAAGAATAATGTATCAAAATTTTAACTACAACTGGTAAATTGGACGAAATATATCCACTTCTGTTGATACGTCTACATCAAAGGTCAGTGAAAACTGAAAAGACTGCGGCCTTGGCTATTTACATAATACATACATAATACATATATATATATATATATATATATATATGTCGTGGCTAGAAGCTTTGACCATTTCTCCCATGCACCATTATTGATTTGCAACGACATTACAATCAATAAGAGGTGTGACACTATAACTCTACATTTACCAGCTTTTGACGTTACAGAGACATCAGTACGTACATGCATGCCTCCGGAGGTGTACGCTCCTCCAATGAGTATAAAATATCTTAGCTAAAATATCTATATGCATCTTACGTACGTATATGTGTATGTATATATTTACGATAATAATTGGCCGCTTCCATGAAATAATTTGGGAAAAGGCAAGGGGGTGCATGTAAGCAACGATATTTTATGTTTGATGTGTACAACGTATGCTTCTAACATATGCAGCATATATTTTTTTTTTAAAATTAAATTATATCGCCCGAGACCTCAATAAAGAAAGTAAAACCCTAGGTCTGAATTCGGTGGAGTTTTATTTCATAGTTTTTCTTTTTTTTTTTTAACTTTTAATTAGTAGATATTGCAATTATCTTTAGTCTCCGAGAGCATTGTTTCCGGTACGAATCAAAAGCTGAGGTCTAGCAAATGAAGTAATAATGGCTTTTAGAAGATTTAATCCGTTTGGGGGGGGGGGTCACAGACCAACAAACGCTGTCAAATTATTTGATTCCCCAATTATAAAAGGGTTCATGGTATTCATATTATCCCATCCCACTATACTATATATTCCATTATCTCGAATCTTATCGCCTCACAACACGCGGGCCAATGTAAGTTTGATGGCTAATACATATATTACCGTAAAAACATATATAGAACATACTATCTCAATGTATTAATGCGCATGTATACATAAAAGTTAAAACCAAAAAATTTGTAGCAATCAGCATCCAGATTCTGATATATATATATATTAAGCCAAAATATTATTATTATTGTGGAAGACACTGGGACATGCATGTAGAGGAACATGAGTTTTTTTTAACTAGGATGGTTCTCCGGGCGTTCGCTTCGACTACATCCATCTTATGTCCGGGATCAGTCTTTTGTATATGAACCATTTTTATCCAGAAATTATATCTCTCCCCTTTACTGGAATCGAACCTAGAATCTTAAAGATAATTTTGTTACCTTTCACCTACTGCGCCACTAACTATATACTGGATAACAGGAGTTGACTTCAAACAAGAAAAGTTTCGAAGTTAACGCGAGAGTTTTGCCGTGTCATTTACGGTCAAAAGAATGCACTTAATGTTCTCACACTCTGAAAGTAAAGTAACAAGACAGATTTAAAATTTGTCATCGTCTATGTCCCACGGTGCTATGTGTCGAAGTTTTATTAGACAAAGTACGATACAACATGGATTCATCAAAGTCCAACTTACATTAAAAGCCCTTGTGTATATATATATATATATATATATAATTTATAATAACCTATTCATTTCAATACAGTGTGCAATTTAATGTTCATTTTCATGATTTAGAACTTAGAAGGTACGTGAAATTTCTAACAGTTGTGTATCTGAAAAAAACTTCTCATAGGTCGGATGAAATACATTGGAATATAGATTCGGAGACAATATAGATAAGCGGGAAAATATGGCTACACATCAATTAATACACACTTGAGTAATTTTACAAAGTGCGGTGTGTATACGCCGTTGAACACACCTAACTAGAAGATTACAGAGGCCCTCGAGTCCATACAAAATAGACCCCCACCAAAAAAAAAAACCATATCAAATATGTACATATATATATATATATATATGTATAAATTAATATTCCCTCTTGTTCATATTTTTCCTAAAAAAATATGATGAACAAGAACATCCCCTGGCATGTTAAGAGCTTGTGCTACGCATCCGTGAAAGGTTAGGCGTATATGTGTGTATATATATTTATATATCCGTTTATATTATTTATTTTGAATCTACTATTGGTAATTCATCGTCCGCCCTCACATTCTTGGATGCATCTGTTTCCAGTCCACCAACCGTTGCAAAAAATCCATTACCTGTAGAACCCCTAATTGTAAACTAATCAGCATATATATATGTATATATATTTATATATCCGTTTATATTATTTATTTTGAATCTACTATTGGTAATTAATCGTCCGCCCTCACATTCTTGGATGCATCTGTTTCCAGTCCACCAACCGTTGCAAAAAATCCATTACCTGTAGAACCCCTAATTGTAAACTAATCAGCATATATATATAAACATATAGCATAATATATATCTATTGGGAGTATATATGTACATATGCATATATACGTATGTATGTGTATGTGTATGCACTTGCCTCGGCCGGTTCTTGCAAAGAATACGACGCATTGGTGTCCTTGGGGATCTTGGAGACAAGAATTCCAAACCCTTGTCCTCTCTCTCTTAGAATCTAAATTATAAATTCACAACAGTATTCGGTTTGTGAAATAAAATAAAAATAAAGCAACTTTAAGTTGTTGAGGAAAAAAAATTGAAAACAATAGTATTGGGGGCAATATATATATATTAATTATATGATCAATTTTACATTGAATTACCTGAAATGCATCCTCATCCGTTCGGTCGTCACCGATATACACAGGAAAAACATCGTTACAATCTCCAAATCCTGTAGCAACAAAAACTTTAACTGATAAATACAAAATATTATTTTCTCATATATATAAATGTTCTGAAAATGATTCTTAAACCTATAGATTCCTGTACCGATCATTGGAAGTTTTAAATTAATTAACACCTTAAACAAGCAAATTGAATTGACGGCCATGTTTAAAAAAATAGATATTTTAAATTTACAGATATAATATAATTCTAAAATACAGAACAAAACAGAGAACTCACCAAGTGACTCTAATAAGAACTCAAGGGCCTTCCCTTTGTCCCACTTAATTGTAGGACGGATTTCTAACACCTGCGGGTCCCCCCAACCAAATTAATTATATATATACGCGTATTGTTTTAAATAAAAATATAAAAATACCCCAGCCAATGAGAGAGTTACACGTCATACCTTCCGACCTTGGGTCAGCCTCAACTTTGGGTACCCCTTGAGTACCGACCGAACCTGTTGAGCCAATTCGCTCCATTTCTGCATTTAAAAAAATATATTCAGACCTAGCTTTCTTCTTATTCATATCCATATATATATATATATATATATATATATATATATAATATGAAACAAATCTTTATATTTTTATTTAAAAAATAAAATTACCTTCTCATCGACGCACCGGAAATGAACAGAGACGCAAAATTTGTTGTTCTCCACCTTGGCTCCGGGGGTTGATTTTGTTTTCTCCATAAGTTGTTTATAAACCTTTGTAACAACAATTCCAAGGAAAGCAGTCCACATGAGTTTCATCACATGGGTTCATATATTTGTATCAAAATATCATACATTTTTTTTTTGTGTCAAAGGTTGGTATATTCATTGCTATACAAAACGCTTTTCAAAATATCATATTATAACTAAGGAATTTAATTTTAAAATTTTACCCCGTCGATCATGGGAAGAAAGTCGCTTGCCGGTTGAAAGAGAACAGATGGTTGTTTGTCCTGAAAGCGATATTGAATTTGATTGAGATAATTGTAAAACTTATATACATATACACACACATATATATATATATATACATTGTAGATGAAATACAACATGAACTCTTTTTTTTTTTTTGGTAAACGAACATGAAATTTTTACCTTATTGTATTTGGATAAGCCTTTGGTAGGGCCTTTGATGTCCATGCCATGACGACCAGCATAATACAGTTCTGCTAATTTCACAAATTCATACACCTGCAAAAAAAGAATCCACAAAATTTAATTCTGAAAAATAAGTATTTAGCTGATAATATATAGTTTCAAGAAAACTATATGATCATATTCTTGAATGTACCTTGTCTCCGCATCTTCCGCTCACAATAGCGGTCGGGAAACACTTTGCTAGTTTTCTCACTGTTCTTCTCATCTATAACAAAACAGAGCACAGTAATATAATTTAGAAAACAGACAAAAATAACCAAAACCCATTTCAAAATTATTTCGAAATCGACAGAAAAGAAACCTTGCTGGACATGAAAGCTCTGTCGGGATCGTCGACGATGGGAGAAAGCGTGCCATCGTAGTCCAAGAACATAACGATTCGTTTCCCTCTTGAAGCTTCGATGATCTGTTCGAACATGTCCAGCGCCGAAGGATGTTGCATCTATGTCCCAACGGCAGAAGATCAAACGAAGAACATCAGTTCAGCAACCGAGTCGTAGACCTAAAGTAATGGACATTTTTTTTACGTTTCATCATCTATGTATTTTGTCGGAACTTACGATCCAAGAGTTTCGTTCTTCGGCGGAAAGAGAAGGCACTGACTTGAGGTGGGTAGGGGAAGAAGCTCGCATGGAGTCAACCCAGGCGTTGATTCTCTGACCGCCATTGATTTCGAGGTTCTTGAGGAGCTTCTTCCTGGAAATCGAGATGTAACCAAGCGCCGTCGGAGGTTTCTGGGCTGATGGCGGGAAGACGGAGGGGTTGGCGACAGATACGGCGATGATGCCGGACTTGGCGTCCGACACGACGACGTTTTGAGTCGCCATTCTCTGTTTCTCTTCGATAAAGCTCACTGAAAACAGAGCATAAATGGAAAAAATGCGGATTTTCAGTACAGAGTGAAATGATTCACTGAAGGGAACGAACATCGACGAAATCGGGAAATCTTACACTTACCCATTTGAGGAAACCACGGATTTGAGGGGAATAACTACGCTAAAGAATGGGATTAAGGTTGGTATGAGAGAAAAGAGGAAACTTGAGAGGACAGAGGGAAGAAACAAGGGAAAAAAGAATGGAAGAGATGCTCTGTTCTTCGAACCCCAAGTGTTTTCCACTCCTCTAAGAGATGCCGCGGAGAGAGAGAGAGAGGGAGAGAGAGAGAGAGAGAGAGAGGGGAAACACCGAGTGGCGAGTTATATAGAAGAAGGAAACGCGAACACGGAGAACAAAACTCTTTGAGTGGGACCCAAACAATTTCCTGTGGGGCCCGCAAACGCCACGTGGTCCCAGTGTGCATATGACCATACGAAGAATCGGGCTATAATTAATAAGGAATCAGACGAATATTTTGCCCACTTTGAGTTTACACCTGGGCTTCGTGTTCCTTTGGTGTTGTAACACAACTACTCCAATAAAAATATTTGATGATTTACCAAACATGACGGTGGAAGAATAATTTTGTATTTGATGCTTAATTTGAATTCCCCGTTAATCGATTTTAAACAATTAGATTTCTTTTACGCTCAAACGATGGATTTGAAATTAGAACGTTCTGTAGATTTGTTTTTCTTTAAGAACGTCATCGGATAACACGATATCCCAAAAAAAAAAAAGAGATAAAAGTCATTTTATATGTATTAAATCTACTATGCATCCTAAGTCGCTGGAATTTAATCGTCATTAATTAAGAAAACCATGTAGCCGACATTAGCGAAACCATCATGTTCCGACACTAGTTTTTGTTTTGGGTGTATGATGTATTCGAGTGCAGTACGTGTCGTAGATACGGAGGAGTCAAGAGGAGGCGTTTGGACCCATTCTCTCTCTCTTTTTTTTTAAAAAAAAAAAATAACTGATATCAGAACAAAAGTTTGATTTTAAATGCTTTTTTTTTTATTGGTGATCATGTTTATTGAATCTATCTCGCGCGTTTTTAGATTGATTCTTAGCGACTTTTAACAGTGTTGGCTAGCGAGATTGTTGAAATGTGTGTCAATCTAATACAACATGTGTTGTTGCATGTGTGTGTATATACGCATGTATATAATATATATATATATGGTTATCAGTGCATGTATGTATATATACGATGAACCGAACCGACTAGGAGAGATTCTAGACCGTATTTCATCTCCTGTCGCAAATGGTTCTAAAATTAGGTGTAGGGTTTTTACTAAATAAATTCGATTGAATTACATATATATATATATATGGTTTATTGAGGAACTCCAGAGGTTAAAAAAATTCCGGACAAAATAACTTTTGACGAAGTTGACGAGAATCTTGTCAAGAAAAAAAAACAATTATGGTGTATGTATGTATGTGTGTATGCATGCATTAATGCATGTATTGTAATTAAAGTTATATAAAAATTTATGGCCCACAAGTCCATAGTTCATTCACTGCAAAAAAAATGGTCATTTCTAACGGGTAAATCCGTTGGAAATAGCCAAATTTCCGTTGGAAATTAACGTTTTCAACGGATTTATCCGTTGGAATTTCGTCGTTAGAAATCGGTGTCCGTTGGAAATTTCCAACGGATTTCCAACCGGCATCCGTTGGAATTTTCCAACGGATTTCCAACCGCAATCCGTTGAAATTTTCCAACGGAATTTCCAACCGCATTCCGTTGGAAAATTCCAACGAAAAATTCGAAACATATTCCCGACCCGACCCGACCCCGACCCCGACCCCGACCCCGACCCGACCCGACACCGACATCGACACCAACCCGATCCGACCAAACCACGATCCCGAAACTACCTTCCCATGATCCCGAAACTCACTTCCCATTAGATCACCCATCCTTCCACTGCTCCAACTCAATCCTCCTTAACCCTAGAGTTTCAATTAGAACTCTTCCAACTCCTCCAAGTTAAACTTCTGGTATCATATAACATTAATATATATACATATTTATATATATATTTGTTATGTATATGTATATGGTTAATATATATATATACACTTATTCGTATATATATATGTGTATATACACACACATCATATTTGTATATATAAAAATATATAAACACAAAATATATCTATATTTATACATATATAGATGTATAAATATATAAAATATTTGTTTATACGTATATATACACCTCTTTAATATACATATATATACGCATATATGTATATATATATATATATATATATTCGAATTCATATAAATATATATATTTTTGTTATGTATATGTATGTGGTTAATATATATATATATGTATGCTTATTCGTATACATATATGTGTATATATACACATCATATTTGTATATATAAAAATATATAAACACAAAATATACCTATATTTATACATATATATATATATGTATAAATATATAAAATATTTGTTTATACGTATATATATTGATTTTTCAATTAAAATCCAAATTTTCAACCGGCATCCGTTGGAATTTTTTTTAAAAAATTCCAAAAAAATTCCCAACCGACATCCGTTGGAATTATTTTCTAACAAACATCCGTTGGAACTCCGTTAAAAATTTGCAACCGATTTTTCCAACGTTAATTCGTTGAAAATTTCCAACGGATATCCGTTGGAAATACCGTTGGAAATTTCCAACCCAATTTTTCAATTGAATACGTTGAAAATTCCGTTAAAAATTTCCAACGGATTTTTCCAACGAATACCCGTTGGAAATTTTCAACGGAATTTTAACGGAAATCGTCGTTGAAACGCCGTTGAAAACCGTTGAAAATCCGTTGGAATTCGAGGATTTTTTTGTAGTGATTGTTCACGGACGATATACAGTTCAGAAATATTATTATTACATATTTAAAAAAAACAAATATTCAGAATTTCAGATCCAACAGAAAACAAATAAACACCAAGAAAATAGTAAGAAGAGTTGCCAAAAATAGGGAATCTGCCCATAATCCAAGTACGAGGTAAGGGACACACACAAAGCACTAAGTCCAATGACGTGTCCCTTGTAATACAATCTCGAGAAGACCAGCACCTAAAACCAGCTGCGGATCCAAGACACCAACGAATTGTCATCGCATAATTGTTGCATTTGTCCATACATATATGTATATAATTAAATATCCGTATAATGTAAGCAGTACGTATCAGATTATTATAACATGCGTATGACATCAAATTTATGTTATACATTAATCAAAGCTATATATGGCCTATAGTTTTTTTTTTGTGTACAGCAAATCCGTGGGTGGCGTGGAAATTAATATCGTTATAAATGAAATATTAGATAATTTTTTTTATTTCCGTTCTAAGTCAAAATAATATATATATTTTTTTTGGTATAAAGGTCAAAATAATATTAAATTTGAACACTGAAACACATAAAAATTACAAAAATGTGTCGAGGTTAGGAGACTAACCAAGTGAAAAGGAACGTATATTAATTAAAAGTTTATAAATGGATATATATTCAACACTGCGAAGAATACAATACGTATCTTATAACGTAAATTTGTACTGTTTAACATCTTTAAAAAGCCTAGTTACATGGAGAACTCTATTTTTTTTTCTATTCAGTTAACTATCTAATAAAATTCATGAGAAAGTTTGAAGGAATCATGGCTATACGCCTACAATTTCGGACATTCTTGTTCCACGTGATTCAGTGTTTATGTTCATTGTTGACAAAGGAAACATTCAAACGGTGTAAGAAGAGAATATTCTTCGTCAATTATATTAAAAATTAATTCTACTGATTATATTATTACAATTAAAGAATAAAATATGGCGAAACTTTCATCGGGGTCTTTTATTATTTCGCCATGTGCGTGCATTTTTCGATTCAATGTATGTTTAAAAGAATCTTAAGACCAATGTGAACGCAATATGTATTATTTAGTACACGAATACCTTTTGTTTTAAACTTTGTCATGGGTTTTAACTTTTAAGCCGCACAGAATACATCTACTTGCAAAGAGGCTATCGCTCAATGAACTATTCTCTCTCTCTCTCTATATATATATATGCGTGTATATATATACGTCACATACTGATGACGCATGCATATAATTCAAATATTTGCTGGGCAAATTAACGGAGAGGATCTCACGGGCGACGATCCTAGATATGTTGATTCTTTCGACCCTCTGAAAAACTGAAACCATTAGTTTTCCTCCATTAATAATTAAATAACTTACCCATTTAGATAGTTTAACCGGTGAAAAAGGGTGGGAAAATGTTTAACCCGCTCCGAATTCGAGACTCAAATTAGAGAGGAAAATATAATTCCAATCACCCGACTTACTTTCAACCTCGAGATTAATATGGATTTCACGTCAAGAATAACCAATTACCCAAAAAAATAATTAAATAACTTCACTATAATTAAGAAAATGCTAAATGAAGCTGCAGATAAATAAATATATTTTGTATAACAAGGTCCAGAGTATTACTGTAAACCCTAAAGGGTAAAAACTGTCCGCGTTGTCCGGCAAAATCTACGCTTCTGATGATCGTCTTATTGATCCCGTTTTAATCGGCACGCATCATGGAATATGCACGTTATATATTCATGCATTCATCTTTACATATTATATATATATATATGCGTGTGTATAAATACATGTACAATTCAGGCCAAACATTAGGAAATAATGGGTGGTTGCGCCAATAATCACCGTATTGGTATGGGTAAAATACCATGCAAAAATATAAAAGAACTATGTTGTAGTCAGACGCCGTCCAACGACAGAGAGCTCCAAACGTATCGGGCGCGTGGCGAAAGCAGAGCCATATGACTCGTTGTCGTGCTTAGAACCCGACAGCATACGTGTGGTCTGCTCATGTACGTGTCCTTATATAAAACCCTCTGTGTTGGTCGGCGGATTCCATAATTATATATCAAATTTGTACCATACATAGCCATCAACATTAAACTAAACCCTGCAATTTTTTTTTTTAAAAAAAAAACAGTGAATAAGAAAGACAGGCGTTCATCGTACGTGTATGTGTATCCACCAAGCCCGCATGTTCCTCTAGGTTCCCGAGTAGTGAGTTGAACCGAGAAACCGACATCTGATTATTTAATATAAAAAAAAATATTTGTGGGACGTTCGTTTTTTTTTTTTTATTAACGTAATTTGAGAATTAACCACATATTTTTATGGGTATTTGTTTATTTTTCCTTTTGCTAGTTTCTTGGATAATAACTGGTTAATTTCTTTGACTGTGTTTCCAAATAAACCGGGACCGGTTGATCTACCGAACCGGGATGAATATGTCTTGAGCGCGTGCGAAGCATTGATGGGCCCATAGGCCCACTCGTCTGGCCCACTTTATCACCATCCCGTTTTTGAATAGTTTTTTCACTGTGAAGAAGTGATTGTAGTGTTGAATTGAGACCAAGTCGATCATCATTTCGCAGGACTTGTGAAGTCAAAATGTGATCTTGAATTTGTTCGTTAGCCAATTGAAATGAAGATAAATATTGTGACATTGATATGGGTATCCATTATAAACCGGATATTATATAGTTGTCGTGGACCCATATGACATGTAAAGAAGTTGCATCTGAGTCCTCTCTCTCTCACTCATTTTAATATTTTTTTAAATCAAAATTAATCGGATTTTGTTTCCAAGAAAAAACGCCTATCAAATAAAAATTCACGAATTGTTTCCATTGCAACTTAGGCAGTACTAAATAACAAAATAATGTTACACATGCATGTAGAGTTATATATGTATATATATATATATATATGTATATATTTGTAGACATATAAAGAAGATAAATGTTGCGAAGTTTCATAACAACAATCTATGTTAACTAATACCGAAATTGAAATTCGATTCAATCTCTTGCACAATCCCACCGATAGATGTAAATGTTCATATGAATGACCAAATCAGGAAATCTATTCAACAAGCCAATAATATAATATCGACGTCAATTTCAACACCAAAATAAAAACCAAAAAAAAAAAACGACACAAGAAGGATGATAGAAATTCCCAACTCCGAAGGGTGGGAAGATAAGTACGTGGAGGAGTCGATATCGGTCACGACATATATAACGTGTGAAATGGACACGGGAAGAAATGGTCGTGACCTGTAAAGGCCTTCGCACGGACTGAAGATATGACTTCCATTACATGTAAAGCCCTCATTCTATGCTTTTTTTTTTCTTTATCTTTTACGTCGAATCATCGAGATAACGCGTTTGGAACAAAATTTACATGTATATATGTGTGTATGAATCTAGCGTGGGCGAGTGGTTGGTGTGTTGGCCAATGTGTTTTCACGTCGGCTGTTCGATTCCTAATATTGGGGAGGGATATTCACATAGACTCCCCCGATTCTCTGGGAGATGTAGTCGGACTGAAAATTCGGTGAACTTCCGGATTAATGTATGAATCTTTTCTCGAATCTTTTATTTACTTTGAATCTTTGGAGGAAAAAAAATAAAATAGTCAAATGGGACAGTAAACACGTGACAGGTAAACGGAAACAACCGCCAAAGGCTTAACGGTATCGGCCTTATACTTTCGGCCGCGATAATGGGCCCACTCCAACTTAATAACTCATCCCTCGTGGGCCCATCTTCGTCTTTCTAATTTTTCCTTGGCATATTCCGCCTATAATTATATAAATATCTAGTAAAATAGTGCGCTTGGTGATTAATTATAATTGTATAAATTTATATTAAATAAAAGCAACAGACATTGTCTTCGCCGAGTTAGATTCATACCGATATGTTCCGCGAGTATCCATAACATTATTTGCAATGATAGTTCAAATATATATATATTTTTTCAAATATATATTTGCCGAATAAAATATTTATAAAATATAAAAAGTAAGATATTTATGATGTAATTCATAAGATTATATGCGCATCTTCATATAACAATTTGTGGGTTAAAATAAGCTATGGTTGTGTATTTTGGATTGTGGTTGTGGAATATTAGAAGAAAAAAAAAGTCATTTTTTTATATGTCATGAATGACGGATTAGACAAGAGTATAATTAAAAGCGGGAAAAAGTTGGAAAGGTATCACGAAATAAAAATAAATAAATAAAAGAGGAAAGGAGATATAGAATGAGGTGCCCCGCTCGTCGGTCCATACATATATATATATACACCCTCTTGATTAAACAAGAAAAACACTATATATGTAAAAATATAATTGTTTTGACAACATATGTTCCAATTATTTCAGCTTTATAACATAGATCTTGTGCATAATTTTATAATATATGGAAAATTTTTAATTGGGGATTTTCTATGGCACATTTTGATAAATTAGGGACTTTTTCCTATCAAATAATGTATTTTGTATATTATTACTTTTATTAATTAATAGACGACTATATATAATCGACACATTGACGGTTGAAGATATTGGAGCACTGGTCGGCAGGCAACAATAAGAATAATTATTAAAACAACTAGAACCGCATTGCCATATAAATATTAAAAAAAATCTCTTAATTATAATAAAAACAGTTTTTAGAATCTAAATGCCTTGAAATTTATAGATCTATATATATTCGCGTGTATACATATAGTCCTCATTGTTGGGTTGACGAGAATCTTGCAAGTCGGAGAACATAATTAACTCATGTCTTCATAACAAGTTTCATATTTGTAATCGGGCATACGTTATATATATATATATATATATATATATATATGTGTGTGTTGAATGATTGAATATGATATTCCAAAGGGAATCCGGGTTGGGTGTACGTGTCACTCATCAAATTAGGCGGACCCGTCGTGGATTCTAAATTTCTCACATTAATTCGCACAAACGTAAGATATTCGAAGCTTTTATATCCCATCAAATCTGATTCGCGTGCGGTCCTCTTTTTTAATGTTTGGTTGATATATTTTCTAATTGAATTGTTAAATATTCGGTTTATAATTTTATTCCAAAGAAGATGGAAAGGCGGTCCAAAGTTTTTATTTACCATTAATAAATCTGAGAAAGTGCCACGTGGATTATGCAGACCGTTGAGCCGAGGAAAAGCCCAGTTTATTGCAAAACGTAAGATTCTTGATTTTAGGCTCAATTAATGCAATAAAAGATTGTAGCAATTGGCCCATGATATTTCATTGGCCCATAACTTAATTTAGGGCCCGTAACTGGCTTGTTCGGATTAACTTTAATTAAATAATATTCGACATAATGGAAACATTAATTTAGATGAACTATTTTAAAACAATAATAATAATACCAATAATAACATACGTGGGTATCGAGAGATATAAGATACTGTTTAAGTTTATAAGCCGTTTAAGAGTATTTTTTTTTTGTTTTAAAATAAATGACATTTTTCTATTTCCAATGTACTTTTCAATATTCGGAAGAACTTTTTCAATCAAACACTCTTTTATATGCTCTCTCTTGACTGAGATCATCGGTTTTACCTCTACGATTCCTACCTCTCGATTTCTACTTCATCTTTGTACTGCTTGTGTAGTAACAAATGGAAAAACTCCAATTTTTCCAGAGAAAATAGTGTTTCCTTCCCCATCAAATCTTGGACGAGCCATGGCAACCAAAAACATAACTTTTCCGATGTAATTTTTACTCTGACATGTGTGTATTGGATCCTTTTCTTCAGGAAGTAGGTAGTAAGTCTCGGTTTTTTTTGTCATGTAAAACCATTTATCATCAATATGTACAATATTGTACATATCGATAAACTTTGGTTCGTGGGGTAATGTATTTTCCTCTAGCATAGAGATACAGAACTGCAGTCTAGCTCTCATATTTTCTTCCCTCAGATGCAGGTTAATGGCATTGGAGTGACGTCTAATGAGACCTTCTTTCATGCGTCTGAACAAAGTTACATGATTCATATCCAAAACTGCCGGAAGTGATCTTAAAGTTGTCCGACGATGTAATGGAACATGAGTAACTCGATCATGGTCAATCTCGATCCTTTTTCGACCACAATTTCGTATTCTTCTATCAGATACATCCACGTCTTCGCCATTAGGAGTGTCTTTTGCTCGTCGCCAAATTCTTTGTACCATCCTAATAGATACAGAAAATGAATTAGAGATATTTCTTATAGTATGTTTTTTCAATTTTCCGTCAACGTTTCTCTCCAATAAAATATTATAAATTGCCACTCTTTCTCTATTTTGTAAGATTTTCCTTGTTTTTCTTGCTCCTGACCCATCTTGTAATACCTCAAATGTTTCTGTTAGAACAAAAAATAGATAAAAAATGATAAGCTTCATGATTACATCTCATATAACTAATGATTATCATATATAGTACATTCAAATGTAAATAAAAAAATTAATAATATAAAAAAACAACTTACCCTAATTTGTAGAAGAAATATTTCTCTTTCTTCATGGAAGCCATCAAAATTTTCAGAATTTGTTGGAGTTTTGTTCAAGTCAAATAAAAACTCTCTCTCTCTCCACTTACAAGCGGGAAAATTTAAATCAATATTATAATATTATAAGAAGACATGAAAAAAGTTTGTTTGTTTGTGAGTGTTATAATCCAATATATAGACATTTGATGTTTGTGGTTTTGTTGTTTTGGCTCAAATTCAAAAAATTTAAATAATTTAATTTTGTAGAATTGGCTCCAAATTTAAATTTTTACGAAAAAAATTTGAAAACACCAAATAATATTCATTTTTCAAGTTTACAAATTAAATTGTTGATTTATTGGGAAATATAATGATAATATATTCTATCATTAATAAGACTAATAAATAAGGGTATTTTAGACAAAATATATATTTTTTTAATATGTGTGTCTAATGGTAAAACGTGTTACAAACTTAAACGGAAGGAGTATTTATTAATGCTATCGGAATATAATATGGGAATATTCAATATATTCAATTAGGGAACATAAATAATTTATTTTAATTAGCTGGATCAAGTCAAGCAGTGCAAAAATATAATTATTATTTTTTTACAAAATCCAATATATTTCGGCAATCCACAAACCAAATCATGTGAAACAGAAATCCATCAACCACGATGCCAAGCGGCGGCTCCACCATCCTCCTCCTCTCCCTCCTCGTCCTCGCAACCACCATTCTCGCCGTAAGTAATTAACTACCGTTTTCTTCACGTAATCATATCGAATATTTATTTTAATCCGATTAATAATGGTGAGATATAATTGTAAGGTAGTTGGACGACGATGACACGTGCGTATTCACGATTTACATACGGACGGGCTCGGTATGGAAGGGAGGGACGGACTCCGTGATCAGCCTCCGCCTGTACGACGGCTACGGCCGAGCCGCCGTGATCGACGACGTCGTGTCGTGGGGAGGCCTGATGGGTCCGTTCCACGACTACTTCGAGAGGGGCAATCTCGACATTTTCACGGGTCGTGGCCCGTGCCTGTCCGGCGACGTCTGCGCCATGAACTTGACCTCCGACGGGACCGGCGACCACCACGGTTGGTACTGTAACTACGTGGAGGTCACGATGAGTGGGACCCACAAGGTGTGTTCGGGCCGGAAGTTCACTGTGGATCAGTGGCTGGCTCGCGACACGCCTCCGTACGAGTTGTCGGCGATACGGAACTATTGCTCCGACTTCGTGCGGTCGGGTCGACGTTGAGATTCGGGTCTTGCTCGCTGCTACTCCATGATGTGAAGATAATGTGTGATTATGGTATTGCTTGTATTATTTGGAAAAAAAAATTTGTTTGTGACAAGTGTTTGGCACGACGGAAAGATTGAAACCATATATATATATATATATATATATATATATATATATATATATATATATATTTTGCATTTTGGATGAAAAACGATCATTTCATAGTTGACTATGTTATAATGTTCTTATTGCATATTTTCTTTTGGGCACGTAATAGCATCATCGTTCTTATTATTGACAGTAAAGATTGGACCCATTTTTTAACCATAAAACATGACTTATTAATAAAAATAACCTAAAACGGATGGAGTAATGTATATTGCCTCGAGAATTTTTGAGACCCGCATCCCTTTGGGAATTTTGGTGTTTCATTGTATTCATACAAGTCTTTTAAGTTTTGTCTTTGCCCAAATCAAAAGTTTTGGTCTTTTTCTTTATTTTTCCAAGATGGTAGACGACAGACTTCTTCCCCTGTTCTAATTTCCCTCCATATGTGTTTTAATAAACTATAAATATTGTGCCGTAGGTATACACAAAGAGTGTTCTAACTCCAGATTCGAACCTCACCCTAACCAAATCACATATTATATAAAAAAAAAGATAAAAATTATTTGTAATAATAAATGTTTGTAAAACATCTAATGGCATTGGTATAGATTAGGCTGCAAAAATTGATGTTTGAAGACAATTGACAAGGAAAACACAAATCACCAACAAATCTCTATACAAATATTCAAACGTGATTCCTTTTTCTCGTAGCTCCATCGATCCAATGAGTGGAAGACAATAAATAAATAGATAAAAAAGAATCGCACCTATTGCCCACCGGAAAAAAATTAAATATATCACCGCCGGCGGCAAATTTCAAGTACCGTGGCCGCGACGTTTCATGAGCTGTTGCTTTGCTTCCGACAAGCCTCTTTCCACTTCCTCATCTTCGGGAATCTGTTCTTTCAGTATCTCGTAATCTTCCACGGCCTTTTCCCAGTTTCCCATCTACATTTTTCCCAATTTTAAAAATTCATTAAAACACGACATTCTGTGCACTTCAGTCTAATGAAAATCCTAAGATAATATATATACACGCACACACACAAAATGTTATCGTAATTTACCCTGGCGTTACAATCGGCTCTTCTGAGACGAGCCTTGACGTAGCCGGGCCGGAGGGCTAGAGCGGCCGAGCAATCCTCGACGGCCTTGTCGAAGTGGCTCAGCTTGGACCGGCAAGCCGCGCGGTTGCAGAGCAAGACCGAGTTTTTAGGGTCGATGGCTAAGCCATCTCCGTAGGCGGCAGAAGCCTCCTCGAACCGACCTGCTTTGAAAAGCTCGTTCCCTCTGGACCGTGCTGACGTCACCGCCTGAGCCCTCCGCATCACCGTCTGAACCTCCCGGTTGTTCCCGTCCAACTTGCTGGCTCGTTGGATCGCCTCCATTGCCTCCTCGAATCTGTCAATTTTTTTTATATTACAATATTCACGTAAAAAGATAAACATGTTGGAATATTCGGTAAATATTCTGTCGATTCAATACAATAATTTAAATTTAGATGTTGCAATGTTTGACTATTATATGAGAATAAATTTGGTTCAATAAATATGACAGGTTTAAAGGTTAATATATACTATATAGATATCAAAAAATAAATTTCTATAATTTTGATGGACGTTTTATAAATAGAATGATAGTAGTCCATGACAGTAAAAAAAATTATTGTTTTTTTTAAGTTTTTTCTAAGTCTAATTCTAGGTATTGATCCATAATTCAAGATTGAATGATTCAATTGGTAAGGAAATGAGCAAAACTTCTTCTCAACTGGGATTCGAGTTCTCATTTAGAGAGAAACATTCACATGGGTTTCCCAGATTCACATAGGCTTCCCAACTCGGATTCGAGTCCACGTATATTGGTCCATAAGATTATTTCTAGAAAATTTCTATACCAAACACAACCACAAGTTTAGATCCACGTTTATTGTGTTTAATATGCACGTGTTCTTGATAAACGAATGTTGTTAGATCTTTGAGATTTTAATTTATGCAATAAAATTTTGTTAAAATCCAACAAAACAATGTATATATGCAAACAGTATAATAGTAACAGTTATTTATATATACTTGGTAGAGAGGGAGAGAGAGAGATCAAACCTGCCGCATGACATGTGAACCTGAGCCCAGACGGCCAAGAAACCGGCATAGCCGATGGCTCCATAATACTTTGTCGATGTTTCTGAATCGAAATTAGGGTTTCTGGACATGGCATCATCTGCTTCTTGATGTCTGTTTATCCTCAAGAATGCCTCCGCTTGCAATGCGTATACCTTCATCCACAAGAAACCAAACACAAACTGATAAATCATCGGTTTATCTACGGTGTCCTTTAGGGTTTTCGGATTATGAAACAGTCTAAAGATTCACCTGAGGAGCGGAATCCGCGCCTGCGGATATGGAGCTTGTTGTTTCTCTGACAAGGGCATTCCAATCTCGTCGGTTCTTGGCTTCTGTACATTTGTTGAGATGAGTCTGTACAGTTCTGGCTTTGGTTATGTCCTCCTGGTCGGCTTCTGGACCCGAGTGTTTGAAATGGTAGATCGCCTTCTCGACCTCTCCTAACCTATCGAAATTCACAAATTTTCAGAGATCTTTTCTTGACTATGAAATCTCTAATGGGATCAATCAGATTACCTGATATACAAGTTAGCCAGTCTATGGTGAGCTCTGTGGTAATGAGGCTCGATTCTTATGGCTTCTCTGCACTCGAAAACTGCCTCGAGGATTCTCCCCAACGCCGTTAAAGCCGCGCTCTTATTGCTACGGTACGATGCCTTGTTCGGGTCAATGGCTATGGCCGCTTCATACAGGGCCAACGCCTCGGCGAAATTTCCGTTCTTGTAATCTTCATTCCCCATTATCTTTAACGTTTCTGGGTCCATCCTCGTGGAAATTGCCCTACACAATGATCCTGACTGCTCTGATGAGCTCTTTTTCGTCGCCGTTGGTCCAGACATTTCCCCGTACCCTGATGTTGAATTCATCTGGACATTGTTCTGAACTCTTCCTGTCTGATTTTGGGCATTGCCGTAATTATTACCAGTCGTTCCCGGCTGTCTCAGATTTCCTAGATTGCCGTACAACATGACATTGCTCGAAGACGCTCGGACCAATGAGCCATTGGAGGACCCTTTCGCTTTCTGATGATCCGTGATCATGCTCTCTAGCTCACCCGATATTCCGATTACTCCTCTAGACACCTTCCGAACTTGTGGTTGGGCCGACCCTCCATTCGAATCGTTGTTACGCGGTTGCTGATTTGTATAACCAGCCAATTGATGGTTATTTGGGTACTGAATCGAGGAAGGTTTCAAAATCGGTTTCTGATTATGCGTCGGTTCTGATGCAATTCTTTGATCGGAAATTTGAGCCTTCTTGGGGATGAAGTCTGTTCCGGGAGATTTGGTGAACTGAATGTTGACGGAGGCTGTCGGGACGTTGCTGCTCATCGAGCTTTTTTGGCTACCGTTCTCTCCGGTAGATTTCTTGCTCCACAAGCCACGTCTTCCGAAAACTATACTCAACAGCCCGCAACCGGATTTTTTCTCCGATGGATTCTCCTCCATTCCTCCGCCGGTAGAACTGCCTCAAGAACTGTCTTCGTGAGGCCTTTTTGCAAATTCTCTGCACGGAAAAAGCGATACCCGAAAACGGGAAAGACAACAGGAGAAAGGAAAAAGGTTAACGGGCGGGAGAGGGCATAGATTTCATGTCAAGAGGAATACAGGATCGTCAAGAACAGAAGAGAAAGACGTGGTCGATGGGAAAGAAGAAAGCTTCTTCCGCTTTGTCTCCTCCTCTTTGGTCAAGAATATTATACAAAATGGCATTATCATTGATTAGGTAATGAAAATTCACCCCAAAAAAAAAAGAATCTCGATTCTTGGGAAAAGAGAAAACACGATAAAGAATCCGAATAAAGATGTAAAAACGTGTTTGTTTGGTGGGTATTGGAGCCAATTCACAACTCCTTTTGTTCTGTTTTTCTTTTAGTTTGCTCTGTGTTTTTTTTCCGCTGTCGTGTTGGGTGTCTCTCCGGTTGACCCGGTCGAAACACAAAGGCTGTTAAGATTTGTTTAAGGGAGAGAGAGAAAAAAAATGGAAAGAAGGTGGAGGCTATGTCCGAAAACAGACATCCGAATTTGGATCCACCGACTCTATTTTTGGTCGCATGCACGTCTCCCAGTTTCATTTTCTCACGTGTTTGCCAAGAAAAGTTCAATGCCCGTGACCTGGACAGGACATTAACTGGATCTCCTGTACCAAGTAGTTGGGACCAGCTCTCACGTTGCCCATCAGATTCTCAAAGATATTTCAAGAACCCAAATCCTGCTTCCCAGAAGTCAGTTCTGTGAAGATGATAAATTCAAATGCCCATGACTTGATCCATACACTATATCATTATATGAAGTTACATTATATATCATTGCATTCGGATGCCTCGAGGGAAAATATATGAAAACGACAAGGGGAAGGGGGGAAAAACACAGAGAAGACATCTCGATTTACATGTAAAAGAGGCTATATTGAATGCAATGGTTTCTGAAGAAGGG